TCTTTTAATGTTGTACGCCGCCCTGAGTCCTTGGGAGAAGGGCGGCATATAAATCGAATAAACCTAAACCTAACTATCAGTTTTTGTATTTTATTCCTTCTGTAGCTGTTTAAATCCTTACAGATTAAAGGCCAAACTTTCTTCAGTGGTTGAGGCAATTTAGAAATTGATAGATGAAAAATTCTCAGAGTATTTTATACTGATTTTGAATGAATCAGTAATAGATATACTATAAAACACATTAAATATTATATTTCTCATTATGTGTCTTTTTTTTTAGAATTGGCTTGATACTTCAAAGGAAATAAAGAAGCAAATTCGCAGTAAGTGCTCCAGTCATATTTCTTATTGTCACACCTCAGATAGTCCTTGATATATGACTGTTCATTTAACAATAATCTGGAATTACAATGTCATCAAGAAGAGTGCTTTACAGCTTGTAAGGTATTTCTGGTTGTCACATGATGTTCCATTAATAACCCCCACATGATTGTGATCTGGATGCTTGGCAACCTGTTCTGACAACTGGTTGCTAAGCGGTGCACAATCATGTGATCGCCATTTGCAATTTTTCTTGCTGGATTCTTCCCCAAAATCCTTCTCCTCTCTGGGGGCTGGGAGTTGAACTCTTTTGGTAGGGTGCAGAAATGGAGATGAACGAGTTATCTTCCATGCACTGGAAAACAAGCTCCCTCTTGTTCCTTGGGGATGGCTGAAAGAGCTGCCTGCCAAAGGATTTCAGCTCCCATCTATGAATGAAGGGGAGATAAGTCCTTTGGTGAGGAGTAAAAATGGGGCTGAAATCCTGAGTTTTTCTTTTTGTTTGTTTTTATTGCCTAAATACGAAAAACAGATGGCTCCCTTGTATGCTTTAAGGCTAAGATTGCACACTTAATTTTGTCAAACCTTCTTATGTAATGTAGCATTTTAAATAAAATGTATATAATAAAGCCACAAATTAATATAATAAAAATTTCAGAAGTTTATAATACTATATTTATTAAATTTATAAGTATGTTAAGATTAATATTGTTAGAAATCTTCAGTGTGTGCAGTGTCAAATGATCTAGATCTTTCTAGAATAAGAAGAGTTAGATTAAATCTTTATCGGTATATATTGTCTTAGGTTCTGGTGAACTTTCCAAGTCAGCTGTTAGAAAAGTTCCTAGAAAAATCAGGCCATTGAAAAGCGAACAGATGCAAATACTTTATCAGCCTGGCACAATACGCCAAAGCTCATTTGGTAAAACTGCATAATCTAATCTGGTATTAGTAGTACAATGTCTGTTAATCCTCTTTTGATTTTCATATAAAGAAATTTTCTCCTTTGTAACTTTTGTGATTGGAACATACTTATCAAGTTGCCTGTTACCTTTCCTTTAGCTAAATACATTTCTTTCATTTTGGTATATTTTAGGTTTTTTTTTAATTGTGAGCATTTTGTAAGAGTAGTGAGGCTGCTCACAAGGTGTTATGCAGACAAATAAACAATATGTACAGTGTTCCTTGTTGTCCATGCTTTTTGCCTCCTTTTTGTATATTTATGCATGTGGAAATGATGAAAAGGCTTTTGTGCATGTTTATAGTAGTTGTTTCACAGTCTCATTATCCACTGTTGTTCATCTGGAACAGAAGCGCTGCAAATGGGTGCCACCTGTATAGTCTGTTTTAATGATTTGCTTGTACAGCAGCTTCGGAGTTTTAATAATTCATTGTTCTGCATCTATACAGTTCATTATCAACCTTAGATAGATCAATCAAGTGTTTTAAGGTATTTGCATTATGAGAACAAATATTGCTGAAAAATAATGAAACAGATAAAATTTACAAAAATAAAAAATAGATATAAAAATATGGAGAGGTGGAGGGAGAAGTGAAATAAATTGGCTTCTTTTAATCATTAGCAATGATTTCCCTCTCTGATAATGACTGATACTCTGTTTTAGAGATGATCTTCAACTACAATGTCTTCCCATATGCCCTTGGTAAAAACGAAAGGAATAAGTGAACAATTTTAACTATTTTTAACAATTCCTCTAATAATCAATCACCATATAAAAATCAATATTGAAGTAGGCTAACATTCTCAGAATTGGCTCCCAAAGACATCCAATTTATGGAATCTCCTTTTTCTATTTCACCTGGCCCTAATGGATTGTCAGGAGATTTTATAAAGAATTTAAAGAAAGTTTAATACCTGAATTTTTATTTTTATGCAATACTTTGCACCAAGGGGATCCTTTACTTTAGACTAGACTGGAAGCAATCTAATATAATTTTGATCCTTAACTTGGACAAAGATTTCCAGGATTTGGCACCATATAAGTCCATTTCATTTCTTAACATGGACTGCAAACTGTACACAAAACTGTTAGCTAATCAATTGATTATAGGTAAAATTATTCTTATGGTTCCATTTGTCTTTATTTCAAGTTGAAATCCCCTCAAGAAATTATTAAAATGTATGCAATATAGTAAAATTATTCTTCCCTATCTATTTGTTAATTAGATATATTAAAAGTTTTGATTATCTGGAAATACAATTTTAATATAAATATTAATTAACTATAAATTTGTATTAATTAAATATAAATATATATTTATGGACCAACTAAAGTTCAGATAAGATTTAATAGTTATGATTCAGATCCCATTACAAATTTAAGAGGTACCAATAGTGTTGATCTTTATCCACTTTATTATCCAACCTAGCTATAGAAGTGTTGGCAATAGCATTTAGATCCAGTAATCAGATTTGTGGGATGAAAATGGGAGGTAAGACATAGCTTTTAAATCTATTTTCAGATTATATGATTTTGATTCTCTCAAATACTTCTTACTCAGACAGTTATACTAATAAGGAGTTAAAGAAATTTGTAGAGGTGCCAGGACAATAAGTTAATTTTCATAAATCACATCTGATGCTTTTTCATACAGTCCCAAAAATTCAAGTTTTCATACTTATCATAATTTTAATTATTCCAATTATATAAATATCAGTAATACCTATATATCTATATATCTATTGATATAAACCTATTAATAATAATTTTAAAAAAGTTATACACAGTACCAGCATGCAAGAAATTAATAAAATAGAAATTGGGTTTCAAAATATTTCAATGTTTTAAATGAATTGCTGCAGTAAAGATGAAGACCCCACATGGCTTAACTTTTTATTTCAATGCCTTCCAGTGGTAATTTCAGTACAGGTTTTAAAACTTTGGGGTGGGGGGAAGAATACTTATGCCTTCATGCAAAATAATTTGAGAGTAAATACAAGGATTCTATACACAGTTCAGACACAGGGAGATGCATTAATCTCAAATGGTATGGGCAAAACAATTTAAAATCTGGCATATTAGCAATTTTACAATATATAAACAGTTTCTTTACAATATATAAACAGTTTCTTACAAAAGAGTTTCTCTCCCATCCTTAGTGTCTACATTTTTTTCTATTTGTGGATAAAAATGTTTACTTTGAATGTTTTCATTTTTTCTCCCATGTATTCTCTGGGGAATGTGTTAAATGTAGATTTGCCATGGCAGTTCACCTTTAATGTGAAGTTTTACCCACCTGACCCTTCACAATTAACAGAAGAAATCACCAGGTATGCTATTAAGCATTATTGAATGGAAATCCTACATTATTTAGGGTCTCTTGGAAAATCTGTAAAATATTACATTTCATAAGCCTAAAAAAATGGCAATTAAAAAAAAGCTGCTATCACTTCCCTATGTGTTTGATTTGTAGTATTTTTCATAAATCTGGCATAGAAATGTATGTACAAATAATTACTGCAGATAAATGTCATTTAAGAAAAACTAATCATCTAATGGCACTGTTTTTTTACTGAAAAAAAGAATAAGTTAAAGCAAAAAAACAACAATATTGAATCCACTGCAGATATTCAAAATATAGATCATAACCTGGGCAAGTCAGGGAGGAAACACTATTGTAACTCTGACATTTCTATGGTTATGGTTAAAGGTGTGTGTGTGTGT